GAAGGATGGAAGGGTAAGTCAACCTTGAGCCTGGTGAGATTTGAACTGCCAAACTGCAGTCAGCACAAGCAGCCTGCAGTACTGCACTCAAACCACTGAGCCCCTGTGGCTCATAAAGTAGCTTTAACACGACTATGCCTGCCTATGATAATGAACATAGATTATCGTGAATTCAATTTTAATTTTACTGTTTTAACTGTGATAAAGCCAATATTTGATGCAGGTTTTCTAGTAACATTCAAATTTTAATTGTTTTACTCCACCATAGAGTTAGGGTTAGCTGGATTGGAAATTATTACTTGATACAGGTTTGCATTCTTACCTCTTACAAAACTTGAAGATTTTCTGTCTTCAAACCTATTTCCTAGTATAGTTATACAAAATTAATATAGCGGACAATGATATTCTTTTTTCAAACTATATAAAAATTAAATAACCATGGGAAATAAAATTTCCAAAGTAATACCCATATTGACTATTCTTTTTCCTGACTTCTTAATTTCTGTATATTGTATATTTAGGTCACAATTATTTTCTGAGCAGAAGATGTATTTATTTGGACATATTTTCTAGAGTTGAAAACCTGAATATTTTCTATAATCTACATTCTTTTCCACATACACCAAAACCATGTAAATTAAGTCAGGGAAATAAAGTCAGTTCTTTTAGATGGAACAGAAGGAATTAATTACATAATAAATTCTGAGCATAAAACATTTCATGCAGAAACATCTGGTTTTATGAGTTTAATGACTAAAATGAGATATGTGTTCACAAGCAAAACTACTTTATACAGAGACTGATATGGTTCTTCCATGCAAGAGGGGGATAGAAGCAAAGGAAGGCAAGGCTGATGGGGTTCTCTGGAAATGGCCTGCAGGGACATTGGCAACAGTGGAGGAGAGACAGGAGAGGGAGGACAAGTGAGCCAATGGGTCACTGGAGCTGAGGGGAGACAAGGAAAGGAAGATGGTCAGCACATAGAAAAAGCAGGAGTGGCACACACCAGCCTAGCGCTGCTCACCCCATAAGATCTTCCAAGATCCCTGCAGATTTGTTTAGGTCGAACTGTGGACAATCTGAAACAGTTCACCAAACTCAATGGAATGGAATGTTTCACAATTCGAAACAGTATTTTTAGTTTTATACAACATGTAAAATGCAAAAATAGGTTTCATTTATGATTTACACTATTGTTTTATCAGAAGTACTCAAACTTTAAGAAATCAGCCCCCTTTTTCCTTCTCTAAAATATTTTTATGTACAGATTATTTTTTTTAAAATAAAATTTATATGGCCACCCATCTCACAAAAAGTGACTCTGGAGAGGGGAGGGGAGAGGGAAGAAGGAAAGAGAAAAATACCAACAGTCATATTAGGGTTTTTTTTTAAAAAAAAAAAAGCACAAAAATGTAGATCAGCAAGGGAGCCGCCTTAATGAAAAATTATTAAAACACATTAAACACTATCAATAATCTTTTCCTTAAATGACAAATAAAAGTTTTACAATATAGTATACCTCTGTTTCCAAAAATTCTTCCACTTCCAAATCCACCTGTTTGTTTCTCTTCACCATTACGGTTTTCTCTGACACCTAATAAAAAGAATAAAAAGTAAATAATAAATATTTTAACTAGTTAAGTGCATTTTTAGTCAATTTTTTTACACATGTAAATCATTTACAAGTTAGGTCCACAAATATAATTGCTCAGCCTCAGTTTCATCTTCCAATGTTCTATGGTTAACCAGCTAGTTTCTGCTTATTTCCAAGTAAATTAGGGTTCAATGGATGAAGTTTCAATGTTGGTAAAAGAAGGATCTAGCTATAATTAGTTGCTGCACTGATTACACTGACTTTTCCTATTTTCCTATCTGATGCAGCAGTCAATATACATTATAAGACCCACTTGGAACTCTAAAATTAAGATGGATTCTGCAATTACTTTCTGTATATAAATTGCATATATCATTGCTTTTAAAGTATATTTACACACACAGGCATCTTCTCCACATATTTATTGCTAAGTGTCTGTATGCTGAATTAAGCTGGTTATATCAATCTGGTGCCATAACCCTGGTTTGCAAAGTGCAGTGGAGGGATTTATACTTGTAAATCCCTAACATTGTTGTAAACTCCGCCCTGAGTCTTCGGAGAGGGGCGGCATATAAATTGAATTAATTAAATTAAATTAAACCAACATTAAATGGACATTAAGTTTTGGATAATATGTGAGCAGGGTATAGAAAGCTCAATTTAAAAAAATACTCAAAATCATAATTTAGATAGATTGGTTTTCATTATTAACTAAACTTTGGCTAATTACTAGCAAGCATCCCAAGTTCATATATTCCTTCATTTATATAATCATTCACGATATTACTTGTTTCATAGCTTGCTTGTAAAGCTGAATTTGATGTACTTCAATGTTTTAATGCACCCTGGACTCATGCATTGTGCAATACTACAACATGGTGTACATGATTCTGTAATCTTGGACAATTGTGATTTATGCAGCCATACATGAAGGCAGTCTCTAAATTGGCAAGATGCCTAAATTGGTAAGACAAGATGAAGGTAATAACTTGGTATTTTTGTTTTACTGTGATGCATTGAATTAGAATCCGCAGATCATGCCCTCCCTCCTAAAACTTTAACACTATACTTTATCTTAGTTTCCAGGTATGGAAAGAAGCAGCACATAAATTTTCGATTCACCATTCATTGGCTTATATTCAAACCAGTGGTGGGTTGCTACCGGTTTGCCCCGGATCAAGCAAATCAGTAACGGTGGCGGGAGGCTCCGCCCACCCGCCTGGATTCTGCACATTAGAAGTGTCACATGCGCACACACAAGCAAACTGGTAGCGGCCGAAATTGAAACCCACTACTGATTCAAACCCTTTCCCCACTTTCCCAATCTCTATCATGATCAGAAATATCAAAGGCCCAACACTTATTAAACCAAAGATAAACAACTGTACTCACAGAAAAAAATGAGGAAATTCTGTTTCTTAAACTGTAAACCCCTTCATTATTAAGAATTCCTTTAAAATTCTGTGTTCTTACTCATATCCTAAGAATATCTTTAAAAGCCTGTTCTGGGACTCCCTGGGAACAGGAGTGACTTTTCAGCAGTGACTTCTCAACTTTCAAATGCCTTCAGCAGAAAGGTACACCTAATGTAAAATGACATTAGGTGCTATTTCTGCTGCTCTTTCTGTTATCAAACAAAGCCCTTCTATGCATTTTGATAATGTTGCTGTGATATTTCAGAATGTCTTTTCTTCGACAAAGATATATTACTTCCTAACTCATCAGATAAATTTTCTTTCAACCAAAATGATTTCATTTTAAAACTGAAATAGCACAATACTAATCAGTAATTTAAATATCACACCCCTCCCAACCATCTTGGGATGTGTACAGCTGTAATTTTGAGACTTGTCACAAAAGCACTATCATGGCCATATCAGAGATAAGGGATTGCCAGTATTAAAAGTTCATTATTTGCAACCATCTTTTTTTTTTCAAAACATGCACCTTTATTATATTCTTTGACACATACCTGGCTGTTTTATACCCTGAGTGAAATTGCACAAGGTTTCATTTGTTCTCATGGATATACTGCCCTACAACATGAAGTAAAGAATCAGACCATACAGGAACAGTTTTATGTGAAGCAATTTCTAAAAATCAGTTATCTTGTAAATATAATAAAATACATCTGCTTAAACAGAATTTGGCTTTTGAGTAACATTTCTTTAAGTACTCCAGTGTTGGAGAATATAATTAATATTAGTTTCTCTTTCACTATCCATCTTTGATTACTGGTAACAAATGCAGTGGCTTAGAAACAGCAATTTATGTAGCCGGAAAAAAAAGTCATTTACTTGTAATCATGGCTCATTCCCAAACAAATCAAACAGAATTATAATCTAAACTTCTAATCAAGCAACTTGTTTTGAAACAGGAAGCAGGTGTAAAATTTACTCTTTGTTCAATAAAGGAGGAGAATCAAGTGGCAAAGTGATTTAGAACACTTTAGACTACAAAGGAGTAATATACAATGTTTGTTTGCTAATATAACCACGTGCCACCCAAACTCATTCAAAGTCCCAGAATTTGGGACGGAAGTTTCCAGAACTCTTTAAAAGCTGGGATATTGCCTATAGCAAAACCACCATCTTTTGAAGTTGAGGAAGAGTGGATTAATTATGCCATTAACATTAGGCGCCACCGTTCCTTGACTAGGTGAATCCCTAATAGGAAAACTTATAGTAGGGAACCAGGCATTAGAATTTATTCCTTCCAAGGACTTGAACTGTTTCGTAATCCTTCCACTGGGGTCCAAATTCCAACCGACGTCCCCATTCGTTGTAAAAGCTAGCCTGAGGAAGACAGCGCGCATCTGACCCAAATACTGGAAAAACGGAGCACGCTTCAAAACTTCCACAGGGCACCCACCGGCTTCTGGAAGCTGGGCTGGAAAACCGGCAAGGCCCGGCTTCCCTCTCCACTAACACCTTCTGTAAACTCCGTGTCCCAGTTCTCGTCACCCATGGCAGCGTCGGCCAACTCCACGTCTTCCTGCCAAGGGAGAAAAACAGTCGAAGCGTCAAACCGAGGAGAGACAAAACGCAGCCCTTAATATGGCCGAAAGGAGACCTCCCACCAAGTCAGAGGCGACGCTCTGCCTTTTAACAGAAGGCCCCCCTTTTTTTTTTCTCCATCTACTCCTGCTGCCTCCTCTCCCGCCAAAAAAAAAACCCCAGCCAACCTGCTTGCCGGCCGCTTGACTCCCCCTTCTGAGGCCCACCCGGCGACAGAGACCCGCCCAAAGGCAGCAGGGCTGTATCTCTTTCGCTCTTGTTGGTTCTCGTTGGAGCGTACCCCACCTTAACGGCGTTCGAGCCTTAAGGCGACGTAGCGCCTCGTCGACACGTGCTCCGGACGTTGCTTAACTAGCCGTCTCCACCGCCGCGGCCTCTTGGTTGTCTCTGCGCCGGCTGCCCGAGGCGGCTGGGCGATTGGTGGGGGGGTGGGGTGTCTCAAGTAGGGCCTCAAGCCTAGCCTTCGTGCTTTTCGCAGCCCCGGGAACAAATTTCCCTAAGGGCCGCGTGAGGAGGGGGCATAGCGGGGTGAGCGGCGTGTTAGTTTTTGATTTTGCTCTGAGCAACGCCCTTCGAGCATTTTTCCCCTCCCAAGAGCCTCGTTGGGGTATAAGGAAGGCATGCCCGTCGAGTGGCCTAGGGTTTCCTTTGCTTACGGGTTTGGAATACTTACGGGGATGTTTTATTCATGATTATATAATTATATTCATTAATTATATAATTTATTAATGAAATAACGGCTTAACTGGATTCTCTTAACTGATCGTTGTTTGTCAACTACTGCTCTAAGCTTGTTTCATCGTGTACCAAAAATTGGATTCATAGGATTAAGTTAATTATTTAAAGGTTAAGTAGGTTAACTGGATTGGACAATCGTGTTTGTGGAGCAGTGGCTTCTATGAAATCATAATTGGGGGGAAAAATCTTTTTAGTAAGAGTGGGCATAAAATAGAAGAGCTGCTTTGCTATGAATCCAAAGCAAGCCATTTGTTTGGAAGACCTGCCAAAATCCAAAATGTTCTAAAGAGTCGGGCAAGACTGATATGCCTCTTTCTCTAGAGCTGAGGGCCAAATTGCCCACCAATTTTTCCACTGCTGTGTTTTCCCTGCATTCCCATAGCCATGCCTGGGATCCTGGCTTCAGTCCTAATATAATGGCCTGCTCACTTGTCCCTTTCCCCATCTCTCTTTAGGGCAACTGGGGAGATCAGCCAAGAGAATGTATTGTACTGCACTTAAAACAGAACATTGTTATCTGAGGGAAGGGTTGCAAGAGACAGAAAGTGGGCAGACTTATCTCAATGGTCTTAGATATTTTTTCTGTTTTGCTTAGAACGTGTTCCTTTCCTACACCTTTGGTCTCATGTCTGGACACGTTTTGGTTCCATATCAGAACTAAACACACATCTAGATATGGGTCACTATTACAAAAGTGAAGAACAAAGTTTTGACAGGTCTCCAGTTTTTGTGTAGCCTGATGCTTTACGTATACAAAGGTAGATAGTTGCACATGCTTGTTCCCACTGCCTGGATAAGCTAGTACTTGTACAGGCAAATACATAAACTGTTATCTTCAAGCAAAGTTACCGGGAAAGCTCACAGCACATTCTCTGACAGAGTCTTAGCAATTATGGATCCTGTCAAAATTTGTTCCTGCTGTACCTGAGCAAGTTAGTACGTGACTTGTCTGAGCAAAAGTGAGGAGGAAAGCCTGAAGTGTTCTCTGGACAAACCAACTTCAAATTCAAGATTTTTTATAGTTGCTACTATAAAGAGCAAATACTGATCCAAAATAAGTGTAGCTATTTCAGACGTTATGCAAAACTCAGCATCTTCATCCTTCCATTAAAAAAAAGATTTAAATTTTGATTTTCTTTTTGTTATGTTACTAAGTTTTAAATTTAAGCTAATTATAATTATATTTTACCTAAATAAATTTTACTAAAAATTATATTTTTTATTTACTTCTAATCCCAATGAAATATTTGTTTAATTCACAGGTACCATATATAGGGATTTCTAATTTTAAGGACTCATTGATCATCTGCAGAGTTTGAGAATTCTACAGAGCGTTTAGACTTGATTACATGATTACCATTATTTGGGGTGGTAATGAAGTGACTTGGAAGAATAGCAAAATAAGGATCAATGAGGAAGACAGCAAATTTCACACCAGTGTAATTGGGTTACCAGTTGACTCAAGGATGAGTAGATTGTACTTCAAATTATACAGATTAAAAACTCAAAGATGACCTTGTAACTTTTTGTTTTGGGGAATTTCCTTCATCTTTCTCACTTCTATAATAGTCTTCTTGGGAAGTAAAGAACAGTGTTGTATGCTGTACTTTATATACTTTATTGGCATTTTTATATTCAGTTTACTTTCCTAATCAGCATTTTTTATAATAGAGCTCCAAATTCTCTAACAATTGCATAGAAAGAAAAATTAAAAATATCAACTTCCAGCCTTTTTTATAATACCGTAGTTCTGAAAGAGCAGAACATTCTCAGTCTAGTGCCTGGAGGCTGTGCGGATCTGGATGGGGAGGAACAGGCTCAAGCTCAACCCTTCCAAGACTGAGTGGCTGTGGCTCCCGGCATCCCGATATAGTCAGTTGACTCCATCACTGACTATTGGGGGGCGAGTCTTTGGCCCCCACAGAAAGGGCTCGCAATCTGGGAGTCCTCCTGGATATGCAGCTGTCCTTGGAAGAACATCTGACGGCTGTAACCAGGGGGACCTTTTGTCAGGTTCGCCTGATTCGCCAGTTGCGGCCCTTTCTTGATCGGGATTCCCTGTGCACAGTCACTCATGCCCTCGTCACCTCTCACCTTGACTACTGCAAAGCTCTCTACATGGGGCTCCCCTTGAAGCTCCCCTTGAAGAGCATCCGGAGGTTCCAACTGGTCCAGAACGCAGCAGCGCAGGTAGTGACGGGAGCAGCATGGCGCTCCCATGTAACACCGCTCCTGCGCGAGCTGCACTGGCTCCCGGTGGTCTTCGGGTGCGCTTCAAGGTGTTGGTTATCACCTTTAAAGTGCTCCATGGCATAGGGCCTAGCTATCTTCGAGACCGCCTGCTGCTACCGACGACCTCCCAGCGACCCGTGCGCTCCCACAGAGAGGGCCTCCTCAGGGTGCCATCAGCCAAACAATGTAGGCTGGTGACCCCCAGGGGGAGAGCCTTCTCTGTGGGGGCACCTACCCTCTGGAATCAGTTGCCCCCAGAGATAAGGAGAATCCAAGACCTCAGTGCCTTCCGCCGTGCCCTTAAAACCCACTTTTTCCACCAAGCCGGGCTGGTTTAAGAAGAAATTTTTAAAAGTTTTAAATGGGTTTGTGATTTTTAATTTTTGGGCCAAATTTATATATAAATGTTTTTTAATATTTGTATTTCATGTTCTTAATTCTGGCTGTACCCCGCCCTGAGTCCTCAGGAAGAAGGGCGGTATATATATATATATATAATAAAAATAATAATGACTTCCAGTTATGATGGTTATCAGCCAATTGCATGCAAAGCGCGTGCACGAAGCAAACCGGTGGTAACACTGGTTAGAACCCACCGCTGGCTCAATTGTGATCATAAACTGAGGACTACCTGCAGATGTACAAGCAAGGTGAAGAACGGAACAAATACCTGGGCAGTATCTTTTCAAACTGAATGTGTTACCAGTATCATTGCCTGGATATATTGCCTGGTTATGGTTCTCTCCATCTGCTAGGATTGAATCAGGCAGAAGTCTGACAAGTTCATAAACACTGAATTTAATTTCAAAAGGGGTAGAAGTGGAACCAATCCCCAAGAGAACAGTGGTTCAGGTCTCATGCTATATTTACTTGTGAGGAAGAGGAAAATCCCACTTCCCAAACAAGCAGATTGTTGAGGGAGGGACAGCTTTTTACTAAATGTAATACTTCTTCCACATGCCAGCCACCCTTTCTCCTTGCTATATATCCACTTCATTTTGTAATGTTCTTTCTTCTTCCCAAAGGGCATCCAGACCGCCACTTTAATGTACTTTCTTTCAGTCTCTAAAGCAAATCAAGTCTGTCCTAGGAGCCAATCTCAATTCTGCCTCAATAGGCACCAGTAGGCAAGTAACTAGTATCCGAATTTACATGTAGTTGCCCCTCTCCCCAGTGTTGCTACTCCCCAATTGCTGGTTAGGAAAAATGGGCATCATCTCTATTTTATGGATAATGATGGGATGGAATGATAATGATGGTCTTACTGTAGGTTTCTTAAAAACACTACTTTGCACTCCTTATCCACTGCATGGATTATTTGTAATGTGTGATCTGGGATGATGGCATCTGCAGAATAAAACATCAGTTACCTGATTTGTGTGGATCAGTTACTGCAGAGGATGGGGTAGCAGGTAGACATTTACAGTGTGGGTGGTGTAATGGACCATATTCTTTATATTATCCCCTCCCAGAATCCCAATGTGATTTGCCTTCACATAATCTGGAAGATTTGGGAGGGGAGAACATGACTGAAGCCTTCTGTAGTCTTTTTCTAGTTTCTAGCAGGCTTGTAAGTAGGTCAGACTCAGGACAACACTGGCAGAATAAAGTGTTTTTTCAACTTTAGGTAGCACAGTCTTGGCAACAGTAAACATACAATTGGGTTACTATAGATTTTATTACTTAAGATATCTCCTGATGTCTTGCACTATAATTTCATAAATCTAATCAGATATTAATTTTACTGGGTGTAATTGGATTTTCCAAGTCTTGTGATGCAGACTAAATTAGATTTTCACCATCAGATTTTTCCACTGCATTCTACTAATGTTCCTAAATAAAACAATTTGGAAACTTAACACATTTGTCTTATTATTTTGGAAACTTAACAGATATAATACTGCATTAATTGACAAATCCAATCACCTAACTCTTGGTGTTTATCTTAAACAATGATCAATCAAATGCTCCACTGAAGGTTTGTAAGCAGGACAAAGATAACTTAAGCCTGATTGCTTGTCCAGCATCTTGTCATGGGGGAAAAATAGTAGTATTGAGATTCTATTATGAAACCAAAGTTACCTAGGCTGTATGCATTATAAACTGACTTATCCTCTACTCCATGCTGATTAATAACAAGGAAATATTTATCTTCCTTTTTGTCAAACAGCAGAATTGGAATTATTATTCATTATACCGGTAATAAAATCAGGGAAAGCATACCAAACATGGCTTCTGGGATTCTTTCCAATTCCTTAAAAAGAGCTTTACTCTTGATTAAGTTAGAAGAGGAAGAGACCATAAACGTTGGGGCAACGTTGCATTTCACTGTCCAAGTCTCTTTCACAGGGTGGAGAGGTGTTTATTATTTATTTATTATCTGTGTTCCCGGCTGGACCAAACCCAATATCAAGTTTGATCTTTCTTCTGCCAGCTTTTCTCTTTACCCAAAATCTAGTTTATTTCTGCTCTGTCCTGATGGTCCTGACTTTCCTTACATGATTTCTCTGTAACATTCTTATCGTGTTGGAAAGAGTAATAAAAGTAATGTAACCATTTTTAACTTCTTGCTATCTTGGTGAAAACTAGCGGCTATTGAGAAGAGGCAATTGGCATTTGATTATGCCAGATACCGACCTGATATGCCATCAGGTCGGTATCTGGCATCCTGTTGTTGGAAGGAAAAAGTAGCCTTTCCCTTTAAGGATTGTTGGAAGGCAGAGCTTTCCCTTCTTAAATTCAAAACTCCCGGCTGGGAGATTACTTCGCCAATGATTGGAGGTCAGCTGCTTGAGAGCAGAATTAGTTTATTGTTTATAGGAAGGCAGGCAAGAAACAAATACAAGCACAGCGTTCCGAAGCTAGCCTGTTTGAACTGTAAGAGTAACCCTTTTTTATATCCTAAAACGTCTTTTGATTTTCTATGTGACCCTTTAAAGTCTTTTGAAATTCTTTTGATTTGGCATGTGAATCCTTTGATTTGTGTGTGTGATTGTTTTATGGTGTTGAAATCCCTTTTTTGTTTGTGATTGGGTTCTTCCGTCCTGGATCTAGCAAATAAATAATTATTTTATAGTCCACTCTCTGTTTTTCCCAGCCCTCTGTAGTTGTTCGTTCCCTATAATTATTCAGCTTGCTATTTCTCTTTTCTCCTTTTTCTCATGTGTTTAAATTACTTTGGCTTGATTTCTTTTCCTTTTTGGGTGTTTGTTTTTCTTTCCTGTGTCCCATATCTGTTTGGATGTTGCAGGCCCCTGTAATTTTGTCCTTCTTTGTTGTGGAAAATAGGGTGGCTTCAGCTTCTTAATGGCTCATTGATAAAGGTGGGGGCTGGAACTCTGCCTGAGTTTCTGCTTATTTCTTTTAGGGGAATTTCCCTGCTCTTTTAATATTGAGTTTCTCATATCTTCCAACACTGTTAAAACTCTCTTAAAGGTTAAGTCTCGGCAGACGCCTAATGCTCCATTAACTCTTATGCAATACATACGGAACTCTTTCATTTAACTCTGTAAAAGAGAAAATGGCATGGGTTGTTTACCATTATTATCTCTAGGGCTAGCCGCTTAACTTCGTAGAGGCAGAGTGAGCAACTCTAATTTTTATCTCTAAGTCCCGTGTTTTCTCTGGGAATCGTGGAGGATTTGTTAAGCTCCGTGCCGAAAGTGCTAATATAAGGCCGGAGACTGAGCGTGCGACCCATTGTGCTTGCAATAGCAATAGCTCTTCCTGTTTTTGTGTTTGACTGGGAGATGCCGGAACGAGGCGACGATCAAGCTCCAGACTCGGTAAAAAAAAATCAATGCATACACTTCCAGATAGTCTGCATTGGATCGATGTGATTCAATGTTCTGGGTGTCACTCCGTCGTACCGTCCGATAAAATTGATTTCGAACACCTCGTTACAATATATATATATATATATTGAACAGCATAGCTAGGACATAGCCCCAAATTAAGAGCTTTTAAAAATCACCGGTGGTTACCAGGATTGGTTCGCTCTGTTTAATTCTCCAGTTGAGAATAAGTGAATCTTTAGGAATAATTGTGTTGCGTTGTGCTCAGTAGTAGTATTAAAGATAGCATAATTTGATGATTGGAAGCTAGTTTTCATGAAGCAAATCTATGCGGTCGCTAGAATTGAAAACGACTTGGTTGCTGCTAGTTTAGTTTACAGTGATAGCCCCTCTATAGTACAAATTCTGGAGGAGGAGGAGATGTGCTAGTTCATGTGCTTTTACTAGATCATATGGTAGTCCGAGTTCAAAGGAGACACGGTGTTGTCCACCTCTG